AACAATATTTATGGATAACATATTCCTGATAATTGTATATTTAACAACACATACTGTGATTATATAAAATCCAGAAAAAGTCAGTGACGTTGGGAAAGCGGCAGCTTTGGATAGCTTTCTTTACTAAGAATAATTGGAATGCTAACTTTGGAAAAATTTAAGAACACATCTGGAAGGAACACTAGAAGTTTCATTTACTGACTGTCTAAGTTATGCACTGCTGCTTTAGCATGAATACCACCGTGGATGGCTTTAACAAACAAATTCATTTTCTCACAGTTAGGAGACTGGAAGTGCAAATTCACAAAGTAAGCTCTGTGGGGAGACTCTCTTTCTGTTGGTTCAGAGTTTAGGAAAAGGTCCTTGTCTCCTTTCAGCATCTGTAGGCTCAGCAGTTCTTGGAGATCTCCGTGTATTTTGGCATCAGTCTCCCTACCCCCAGCAGAGACCTGGGAACAAAGGATATGTTAAACTTGAGCTCTTCTTTCTTGATGGTAGTAGGTTCTCTCTGCTTGTTTCACTCTACTTTTATATCTTGCAAGATAAAAAGTGTTGTAAAACCCATCCAAGGAAAGTCACCTTTTATTTGGCACTTCAGAGTCACCAGCTGCTCCTCAGAAAACCTAGACAGGGTTATTGGGAGTTGGAACCAACTCAATGGCTCTTAATGACAACAATATCCCAGCTATATTCCTTTTTCAGAAGATTAGCTTATAACATCAGCTGACATCATAGAGTAGCATTACATAACTGCCACATTAATTACATCATCACATAAGTAAGAAACATGGCCCAGCCATATTTTTCAGGGGGACACAATTCAGTCCAGTACACCAAGTTTTTTCATTTGAATACATCTTATATTTGAAAGGATATAAGAAAATAAATTGAATTATCAATTAAAATATTCTCATAAAGAAACACCTAAACCCAGACAGCTTCCATAGTGAATTTATGAAGCATTTAAACAAGAATTAATTACTCCATCTTGTTGGAGGATCTTCCTCTCTTTTGTTGATCCTTCGCCTTATCAAGTATGTTGTTTTGATGTACTTCTAAGGAGCATTTAGGGTCAAGACAAGTTTGTTTTTTCTTGGGATAGTCTATGGTACTTTTGATATTCTTGGTCTACACCATAGTTCTTTACAATCTTCTTTATTCATTGTCCAGTTTCACATGCATATGAAGCCATTGAAAATATCATGGCTTGGGTTAAGTGGATCTTACTCCTCACACTGTTTTCTTTGCCCTTTAATACTTTAAAGAACTCTATTGCTGCAGATGTGCTTGATTCAATACATTGTTTATTTGATTTTTTGACTGCTGCTTCCCTGAGTGTTGATTGTAGATGCAAGCAAAATGAAGTCTTCAACCATTTCAATCTTTTCTCCATTTATCATGATTTTATTTATTGGTCCAGTGGTGAAGATCTTTGTTTACACTGAGCTGCAGTCTATACTTGATCTTCATCCTGTTCTTCTCAAGCAAGCAAGTCTGTATCATTTGCATATTACAGATTGTTAGTAAGTCTTCCTCCAATGCTAGGTCCTTCATATAATCCACCTGCTTGGATTATTTGCTCAGCATACAGACTGAATAAGTATGGTTACAAGGATACAACCCTGGTGCACACCTTTCCTGTTTTATTGAAACAACTTACCTCTTGGTCTAAGTACAGGTTCCTCATGAGCACAATTAAGTGTTCTGCAATATCCAGTTCTTCATAATGTTATCCATAGTTTGTCAAGATCTGTATTCATTGATGATATCCTTTTTGTAGAAAATCTTAAAGAAGTGACACACACACAGTCTAATAGAACTAATAAACAACTAGCAAGGTTGCAGACGTAAGATAAATATAAACAGTATCTGGGAACTTGGGGACTTCTATAGAGGATTAATAGGGACAAAACAGAAATAGAATGAAAACGGGGACAAATGTGATGTGATTCGATTGTTAAGTGGAATTTTGAGGTAGCTGTAAGTGATCTCAGTGTCACACAGTCATTTGTGTGCATCTGTAATGCTGACTCTAGGAATCTGACTTCCCCAACTCCCAATTTGGTGATGGAGTGTGCATTCAGGAACCATGAGAAGGTAGGAAATCAACCAAGGTAGAACCAGGCATCCTTTGATATTCCATTGGACTAGTTGGTGGCATTTCTGTGATTCCACAAGTCATGTTAAAATAATATGTTTTTTAACTTTTCATGTTGAGGTATGTGTAGATTCACATGTAGTTGTAAGAAATACAGAAAACATATCCCATTTTCTTCAATGATAACATCTTTCTTACTGTATTTTTTTTTTTTTACGTTGAATCAGAGAATTAATTACATAGGTATTTTTTACATAAGGTTAATAGTTCTCTAAAAAGGCTCTCAGTAATTGACTTCTCCATGTTTTTATGGTGACTATATGAACTATCAAATTCAAAGAAATGATACCTGGATTTTTAGTGGGCACAGTAATGATTTGATTCTGCTCTAGTGAAGAATTTTCTCAATCTATTTCACCTGTTTCTTGAAAGGAGATTATTACTAGCTACTTTTAATAAATATCTGTCACATGGCAAAATAGACACAGGTGTTTTGGGAGGGGGCCTTAAAAAAAAGTCATATATAGATATATATAAATATGAAATCGAAGACCTTTTAAGGTATACAGTTGGAGATACTGTCTCTGTCTTAACTTCTTTCCTCCACAGTTCTCCTTCCATGATTAATTATTAATTTCCTCCATTGTTTATTACAATACTGTTGTAGTCACATGTAATCCTGGTGGGTTCTAGTATGGTAATGTTTTTCCCTTTTATTTATCTATTGGAAATTAAAGTATGGAAGTATGATAAGTTAACTGTGTACAGTTTTTTATAGCAAACAAAGAAAGCATTTACATCATACTCTCATATTTCATTTAAGTAGTTAGAATGGCTTGCTGAACATCAATTTCAAACTCAGTTGCTTCTTACTTGTAAACAGATGGTTTTAGATATAGATAACTTTTAAATTTGTTTACATGATATTTCAACCAAGTCCACACCCTCTTTTGTAAATTTGTTTATTAATTAAAATACTGTTGAACATTATTGCATGTTGCTTTAAGAGAACAAATCATTCAAAGTGTTCATTTTCAGTTTCTGCATTTTTTTTTATATAGAATATTTTCAGGCATGTGCACATAGACCTTGATGTGCACAGTTCTTGGTGTTCTATATCCTGTCCATCTTCTAGGGAAATTGCAGTTGCTCTTTCCTTGATTTATCATGTAACCTTGGAATGGTCACATGCTGGATTTCACATATTTCAAATTCATAGTGCCTGTATCTCTGCCCTTCAGTTACATTTTCCATTTGTAGTCATTATTTTAAAATGTCTTTATTGTGCTCAAACTGCACAGGTGATCCAACTACTTCATATACCTAAATCAAACTAATCATCCCCAAGGAATGAGAAAGATTTCTGTGCAGCCAAAATCTCATGCACTTTCCTTAAAATGAAGCCGTGCTTTATTGTTCAGCTGTATTGATATTTAGAGAAATGCACTTTAAAGCAATGGTGCTTTATCCTACAGGCCACACCAGAACTTCTTACATCGGTATATGCTTGTTGTTAAGTGCTGACGAGTCGGTTCAGACTCATAGCAACCCTGTATAGAGTTTCCAAGGAGCGGCTGGTAAGTTTATGCTGCTGTCGTTGAGGTTCACACTGACCTTGTGGTCCAGTGCATTATCCTGCAGCACATAAACTGTAGGAAAAAAACTTGCTAGCAGTCTTTAGGTCATCTTGGAGTTGCATTGTCACTGAGTATCTGGTTGTTATTCCTAATGATAGTCCTGAACAGCATATTTAACTGCTCTTCAGTATATTGTATTCTTTTTAGAATACTTTCTACCAAGATTTGATCCAGTATCAGGTGCTAATAAAGTGGTTTGTGCCCTTTATGAATTCTACCTCAGACAGATAACCTAAGAAAATGATCTGAAATCTAGGGAGGAGAGACTATACGTAATAACATGGAACAATGTTTGTGATAGGCTACTCAGTAAAATTATAATGAAAATGTTATTTAAAATCTATGATCACATCATCATGCCTATATCAGGAAACAATTGTGACATAAATCTAATGGACTTCAAAAAGTTCGTGAATAAATTAATTCTCCTTTATTCCATTTTTTTTCACAAACTTCTGAAGCCCCTTTCCCCTTGTAGATACTAAAATTCTTGAATGTGTTATGGTAGAATTTTTTTAAACTTAAGTTTGGTAAACACTAAACATTGTTGGCATATGTTATACTTGTATAATTTAAAAAAAAAAAAATATATATATATATATACTTTAAATGTTTTACTTATATATTTTAATTTTTGTGATAATATTAATACATTTATATATATATGTATGTATCTGTGTGCATACCACTAGCACAAGAAAAAGAATTTCTCATTCCCTTTATGGAGCACAATTATGAATTATTTTGAATTTCATTGCATATATTTGTGTTTTCCAGACATCTCAGTAGGGAGGAAGGAATCAATTTTATTTCTTTCTTACTAGAAGTGTGATATAAATTTAATTAGTGTAGCCGTCCATGCTAGAGCATCTTTTCCTCTGTAAGTCCTGAGGATGACATGGAGTTGCCACATCGCTCTCTCATCTTCTTAATGATAGCCCTGGTGGACCAGTGTGCTTAAGTTCTCTTCAGCCTGTTTTCGTCCTTTTAGGATGCTTTCTACCAGGGTTTGGTGATTTACGTGGAAGAACCCCCAATTCTTGAGAAATTAGGCTAATCATAACTACTGAAACACAGAGGAGTTTACAGAACTAAGGTTCGATTAATTGAATGAAAGTTTGACAAAATTTTCCTCAGTGAGACTATTTTAGAATATAAGAAGAGACACAGAAGTAGTTTTGTTACTTCAGAAGAGATTGCAAAGAATTTTAAGTGATATTTTTTGCTTTCTTTGACTAATTTTGCCTTTCCCCTGTGTCCCCCAGCTGGCCCTAAAGGACCCTGTGCACACGGTTTCCCTGCAGCAGTTCATCTACGAGAAGCTCAAGGCACAGCAGGAGTTACTGGGAGAACAAGGTTTCCAGTCCCTCATGGAGACAGTGGACACAGAGATTGTCACCCAGCTACAGGAGTTCTTACAGGGATTCTAGGGAGCACATGACAAAATTGTGGCAGTTTCCGGTTTCTGAAACAAGCGGAATTGCCCAGGCTGCCATCTGTACATGAGAGCCTGCTGTGATGATGAAGAAATCACTTGTGTTTGAAAATAAAGAAGCAAAGACCATACATTTTTTAAAATACAGAATTCAAAGAATAAATGTAAAATGCCATATAACTAAAATCACAAACCTATTCCTCAGAAGAATTTAATTTTATATTTATGAGGGGCCCTGTGTTTGCTAGAGATACATATGATGACAATAGCTGCTTAGTTTCCTGTTAAGAGAAGAAACTGTTTGATCATCTCTTAATCATGTACTCTTAACACTTAAGACGAAGGTTAATGTCTGAGATTTTTGCAACCAAAATTAGTTACATTTGACTGCCTTACCCTTTTTTTTTTTTTAAGTAATGAAACTTACAGGTTTGAAAAATGACAAAACTATTCAGATGATGCAATTAAAGACATTTGTACACCCGACAAAAATATATAAATAGTGAGAAATAGACATTACTAAGATTATCTTGCAAGGGAGTTGTTTTCATCTGACCTAGAAGACATGTTTTATCAGAGAAATGCTTTTAATTTTCATTATAGTACTTTGATAAGGGTTAGTAACAAGTTTTTTTCTCATTTAATTTATAGTAACTGTACTTAATCTTTACATACATATTGTTAAGGCCAACAAAAGTGAACCCATGGTACTGGAGTTCCTGTTGGGAGACCTCTGGTCGTGGTTTGGTCCTAGTACTTAGTTATTTTGAAAGGCCAGCATCCCTGTGAGCACTGAGAAAGGCCAGGCAGCTAGCCATCTACTCTGCTGTGATGTGACTGCCTGCTCCACATTCACAGCGTTTGGGTTTCTCCATGATGAGGCCTGGGTGCACCTCAGAAGACCCGTCAGCAGTGCCCAGATAGGGGCTGAACTTAAAAGGCCAAAACATGCCAAATTCAGCAGGGTATCATCACAGATGTGACCAGTCTTCCTTATTCCGTCAACACATAATACCAAAAAGGGAAGAGGAGAAAATAAAGCCTTACTTCGTTTTGCTTGCCATTTGTTGTAAGAAATGTTTGATGCATTTTTCAGGAAATAGTCAAAAGCAAGGTTGCAAAATATCTGCTCTTTCGATAGAAAGTTGGGTACAGTATGTAACACTGTGGGAACTCCACTGCCCCTTTGTGAGCTGTGGAATCCAAAATGTATGAAAATATTTGATGTTTTCAGCAAGAGAAAGAAAATATGGTCTCAATTAAATTTTCCAAACATACCTCACCTGTGACTGATTTGTCTAATTACTTTTCTGCTCCACAGAAACAAGCTCATAAAAATGGCACCGTGAATTTTGGCTCAGAGCTGGTAGGTGGCAGTGCTGCATGTAGCAAAACATAAATTACTTTTTAAAAAATACAACACTTTTTGTTGTAAATTGAGTGAAGGTTTACAGAGCAGATCATCAGTTTCACAATCAGCAAATCATATATGTTGCTTTGTTATATGGTTGCAATCCCCTCCATGTACCAACAGTTACCTCTACTCACTTTAACTGTTGTATCCCCCATGTCTCTCACTACCTTCATCTTTCCTCTGCTCACCTCCTCTTGTTGTGTATTGCCTGCCCTGTCACCCATGTTAACATGTGTCTTCCCTACCCCCTTCCACCTGTAACCATCCTAGATGGTTTCTTTTTATTTATAAAACTGTTTTTTTAAAAACAAAACAAAACAAAAACTTTTTATATTGGTATTATACAATGTTAATCCTTTTGTGATTGACTAATTTCACTCAGCATAATGTCCTCCAGGTTGAACCATGTTGTGAGGCATTTCACAGATTCATCATTATTGTTAAACATTTTTTAGAATTCCACTGTGTGTATGTACCAAAGTTTGTTTAACCAGTCTTCTCTTGATGGACATTTAAAGATACCATCTCCATCTTTGTTTTATATTTCTCTTGTAGACAGCATATTGATGGATCCTGTTTTCTTATCCATCTGTTCTTTCTGTCTCCTGACTGGTACATTTAATCCATTTGCATTCAGTGTAATTATCAAAAGGTGTGAATTGATTGTTGTCATTTTCTGTGTGTTTTATGGTGCTGCTCACAAGATGGGCCAGCAGTGTCTGACCAGCCATTCATTCATCTGTCAGTCTCCTTGTCTCGCTGTCCCTCTCAGCCTCTCCTCTCAGAAGACATGCCATCCACCTTCTAACCTGTTTTTCTCAATTCAGAGTGCCAGAATGTTCATTTGTGTCTGTTTTATTTTGTCTCATGTCTTTGTTGTAGAGGATCTGAGTAGTGAGTCTGCCTAGTCCACCATCTTAGGGCCTACCCCTAGTTAACTTTTTAGTTTATCTTTTCATTTAAAGACTTAAAGCTTCTTTCATAGGATACTTCATTATCATTATTATTCAGTTCTCAAGATTAATCTAAAAAGAATTTCTCTTAATTAGTGGTAGCAAGTATTCTCAAACATGCTTTAGTTATTCAGTTGTTGTAAAATACTCATCTTTCCAATGGCAGATTTTATATAGACAATGTCATAGCAAATAGTCTCAAAATAGCTACCTTTGCACACACACACTCAAAAATAATTTTTTAAAGGTAATATCAGGGAAAGATTATGATTAATTTTTTTTAAAACAAGCTTGATAAATACCTTAGAAAAATTCCCTATTTATATCTTGAAATTTTTAATAATTAAGACATAAAATATAATTGGGTGTGGTACTGTGGGATAGATCTCTAGCCTGCAAGGTCAGTTTGAGCTACAAGGTCAGCGGTTCAAAGATACACTCCTTAGAAACTATAAAAGGTCACTATGAATTGAACTGACTCGCTGGCACTTAACAATAACAATGTACATTTTATTCATTAGACCAACTCAACTAGGCCTCTGGTTGAACTTTACTATAGTTCCTGATGCAAAGTAATGATTGTTTATATTCTATATACATTTCTGCTTTTATTTTATATTCCTAAGACTTCTTGTAGGCTTTGGCAAAGGCCCACATGACTAATGATAACTCTCAAAGGCTTTCATTATTAATTGATCATCCCTCTCATCTGCCAGTTATATTGAGAAGGTACATTATCCATGCTAAAATACTTATACAGTTTCTCTTAAAGATTTTTCACCTACATGGGGGCAGGACAGGCAATTTAGAATAAGAGGGAGGTTAGCAGATGAAAGATGAAGGTAGCAGGAGACACAGGGAGGGAGGAATGCAATAATTAAAGTGAATAGAAGTATAAATAGCGATTGAACTGCTGGTACATGGAGAGGATTGCAACCATGTAATGAAGCAAAGTATATGACTTGTTGAATGTAAAACATGATCTGTTCTGTAAACCTTCACTCAAGTCACAATAAACAGTTGAAAGTTGCAGCCAAGGGAACTCTATGGAGCAATTCTGTTCTGTAACTCATGAGGTTGCCTGAGTTGGAATTAACTAGGTGGCAACAGGTTTGGCTGTTTTTTGTTTTGTTTTGTTTTGTGTCTTTTCATTTCCATCTTGTTTGCCTTCCCCTAGCCTGTTGCTATGCTAACAGAGCTCACCTCACCCTCCTACGGATCTGGCACCTCCACCTGAGGAGCAGACAGGGGGTCATGGCTGTAGGAGGTGGCAGTAGGAGGAAGCTGTCTGGATTGGAGCTTAGATCCAGAGGGAGCTTTCTCTCAAAGATTAGAATGTCTACCAGGAACAGGAGGAAAGCCCGGGATAAACATGGAGGGCTATATCTGGGAATGAGGAAAATAAAAACCAGAACATATTCACATTAGATATTGATTTTACTTATTTATTATTCAACTAGTATTGGTCAATTTCCTGTTCTGTGCCAAATGCTGGCAAGAAACATCCCTTCCTGAAGCTTTGCAACTTCCAACTTACAAGAAAACAAGAGTTCTAATGGAAGTAAGTGGGCATCTGGGGACAGCAGGTACACAGGGAATATAGGTAGTGTACAAAAGAAAATGATGCTATCACTTCCTAATTTGATAGCAATTTAAAACCCACTCTCAAACAGCACAGCTTGATGACTATTTTTTTAAAATACTTACTTTTAAATAAGTTGACACTACACTGGCACTGCTTTCTAGCACCAGACTTGTCTATTTGAAATTACCCTGACATGCAAAATTATCGGGTTCAAGCTGGATTCAGAAGAGGATGTGGAATTAGAGATATCATTGCTGATGTCCAGTGGATCTTGGCTGAAAGCAGAGAATATCAGAAAGATGTTTGTTTACCTATGCTTTATTGACTACGCGAAGGCTTTCGATTGTGTGGATTATGACAAGCTATGGACAACATTGCGAAGTATGAGTATTACGGAACTCTTAATTGTACTCATGAGGAATCTGTACCTGGACCAAGAAGCAGTTGTTTGAACAGAGCATGGGAACACTAAATGTTTTAAATTTAAGAAAGGTGTGCAACAAGGTTGTATTCTTTCACCATACTTAACTCAACCTGTATGCTGAGCAAATAGTATGAGAAGCTGGGTTCTGTGAAGAAAAACGTGGTGTCAGGATTGGAGGAAGACTCATTAACAACCTGAGATATGCAGATGATACAACCTTGCTTGCTGAAAGTGAAGAGGACTTAGAACATTTATTGATGAAGATCAAAGAGCACAGCCTTTGGCATGGATTGCATCTTAATGTAAAAAAAAAAAAATCCTCACCACTGGACCAATAACATTCTTATCAATGGAGAAAAGATTGAAGTTGTCAAGAACTTCATTCTTCTTAGATCAACTATCAACACGGAAGCAGTCAAGAGATCAGATGACGTATTGCATTAGGCAAATCTGCTGCACGGGAACTTTTTAAAGTATTGAAGAGCAGAGATGTCAGCTTGAGGACTAAGGTGCCCCTGACCCAAGCCATGGTATTTTCAATAACCTCATATTGATGCGAAGGCTGGACAATGAATAAGGAAGATCATAGAAGAATTGATGCCTTTGAATTTTGGTGTTG